TAGCTTTTGAATTATGTATAACAAAATATTAATTAATTATGACTATATGAATAGTACAGAAAGTAATTATCTAATTTGAGATTATATAATAAAATATATATATAATTTTTTTATAATTTTATAATTAAAACAGTTTTTGTATTTTAAATTATTCAATTAGAAATCATTTTTTTGAAAATTATAATTGATTAATTTTAAATGATATAAAAATTAGAAATATTACTAAAAGTAATATAAATATATATAATTTAAAAATTTCAATTTATATAAAATATAAAAAAACTCTTTTTTATAAACAAAATAATCTTCATATTTTAAGTTATTTACATAAAAATAGTTTTTTAAAAATATAATTTATAATTTTAAAATAATATATATAAATTTAAAAATAATTATTGAAAAAAATATGAATATGTATATAGCTTGAAATTTTTTATTTTTTATATCATTTACTATATAATTTTGAATTAAATAATTTTTTTATAATTATTATATATATATCTTAGAATGATTTATAAAAAGTGATTTTTATTATAATTTTAAAAATATACTATAATAATCTTTATAAAGATTAATTATTAAAGATAAATAAGAAAATAATAAAATATTAATAAAGAAATATTAATAAAAAAATAACTATTTTGAAATATTAGTTTTTATACTTTATTTCTTATAATTTTTTTATTATTTAAATAAATAATTTTATACTTATTATATTTACAGTAACTAGAATAATAAGAAAGAAAATCATAATATATTATTTTTAAAACTTTCTAATAAATTATTTTTTTAATAAAATATTATATTAATTATTATAAAAAATTTATTAAACATAACTTTATTCTTAAAATAAAGTTAGAAATATAATAGTTTAAAATTATAAATAATAGTATATAATTAAAGATTAAATAGATTAATTAATTTAAATTTGAAAATTTTCAAAATTTAAATCAAATTAAATTATAAATTTTATATTTTGAAAATTTTAAATTATTATATATCTTGTAATTAAAAATCTAATTAATAAGTTTAATTAAATATTATTTTAAGTATTTATTTTAAAAATTAAAAATTACTTATATAATTATAATAAAAATAATATAATAAAATATTAAATTTATTAAAATTATAAATTTTATAAAATTTAAAAATAAATTAATATATGTTATAATAAATATTAGTTTATTATTAATTTAGTTAATATAATCTAAAATATATTTTTTTTTAGTATTTTTAAATAAGTAATATAATATTTATTATTATTTATAATTATAAATTAATTAAGTTTTTTATTTAATCTTTTTATTTTTATATAATTATAAGTTTTTTATTTAATCTTTTTATTTTTATATAATATTATAATTATTTAATAAATAAAATAAAATAAAAAAATTTATATTTTTCAAATAGAAATACTAAATTATTATTTAACTTAATAATAAATATATTAAAAAACTAGTTAAAGTAAAAATATTTATAAAATTTCTATATTATATATAAAAAAATATAAAAAAATACTTTAAATTAAATATATATATAATATAGAATAAAAAATCTTATTCTTGATAGTTATATAATTTAATTATATAATACTTGATATATTTAAAGCAAATAATATTTACTATATATTTAATATAAATTATATTTTATAAGTTTTTGCTTTCTTATTATATTTTAAATTATTATATTATAAATTATTTTCAAATATTAATTCAAAATTTGCTCAAGATAAAAAATTAAAATATTAAGTTATTTTATATTTTCAGAATTAAAAAATATAATTCTTTTTAGAAATTTATAAAAAAATTAATATTCTAATTAAAATAATTAAATATAATAAAAGATATAAATAATATTGAACATAAATAAAAAAGTAATCATTCTAAAAAAATCATTATCAGTATATTCAAGATTATTAGTTAATATTTAAGATAAGATTTAACTATCTTATCTTGAAAGATAATATTTAAATTGACTAAAAAAAATCTTAAAATTATTTTATATGATAGTTCAAGATATTTAGAAAATTTAAGCTATAAAAATAATATATTTATAATTATTTCAATACTTATTAATAATTATAAATAAATCTAAATCAAATAAACTTATATTTATCTTAATAATAGCTGATAGAAAACTCTTTTTATAAATAAAATTACATTTTAATTATTTTAAAATATTATAATATACTAGTATAAAGATATTTAATTTATTTATCTTATTTTAAAAAATCATATCAAAATTTTTTCTTGAAGTAAATTTTATATAAAGAATAAAATAAGTTTTTATTGCTTTTAAAATATAATAATAAGACTAATTTATATTAAAATTCTTTTAAAATACTTATTTAAAATATAATAAATACTTAAAAAAGTCTGATACTTTTAATAAGATAATGATTTAATATATATAAACTCTGTTATTAAATAATTTTTTCAGGTTAATATATCTATAGTTATTAATTGATTATCAAATAGTTCTTTTAATAGAAAATCTATAAAGTATAGTTAAAATTAATATAAAAAGATGAAAACTAATAAATCTTAATAAATTAAGATAGTTTATTATAGAAAAGTAAAATAATATTCTGGATTTAATATTTGATAAACTTAATGAAATAATATTATAAGATAATTATTGAAAGTAATGATAAATAAATTCTATTTTAATTTTTATAAATAAAATTTATGTATTTTACTATTTAAATAAGATATTTGAGTTTTAATTTATTTGTTCATTATAAAGTTATTATAATTTTACTAAATACAAGATTTTTGATCTATATTATATATATATTAAATAAATAATAGAATATAAATTATTTATTAATTATATTTTATAATTATTTCATTACTATTTGAATTTATATTTGCTTATATAAGTTAAAAATATTAAAATTTAAAGTATATTATTTTAAAGCTGAAGTATATATAATATTATCTTAAATTAATAAAATTTAACTAATAAATTAATTAAAAATTATATAATTTAATTAATATTTGATTTTCTAGCTTGAATAACTTATTAAAGATTTTTTAAAATATTATTATTAATTTAATTATAATAAATATTTGAAGAGTTAATTCTGATTTAACAAATTTAAATTTAAGATTTTTAAATCAAATACAATTAAATATTTCTATAATTATTATACTTAAAATATATTTATAAAGTGATATAAATATAAGGAAATATTTTTAATTATAGTTAATTAATAATTGATTATATATATGAATATTATTTAAAAAATTTGATAAATTATTAAATTATTATTAATAATAAATAATAATTCTAAATATATTACAAAAAAGAAAGTAATAATTTGTTAATAATAATATAAGTACTTTGATTAATTATTATATTTATCAAATTTAGATCTAATTAAGCATTGTAAAGTGAAATTAATTATTATTTATAATATATAACTAAATTAATTTTGAATAAAATGAATCTGAAAAAAAGTATGAAAAGATATTAATATAAATTATTATTCAAATTTAGTTTATTTTATGCTAAAATAAATTCAAAATAGAATAAAAATTCAAGAATATTATATAAAATAATAGAAAAATATTTAATTTATATTATTATAAGAAAAAAATTTTATGAAATATAATCTTTTATTTTATGGAATTTAACTTTTTATTATATCATTTTGATTATTGCTAAATATAATTAAAATATTTTATATAAACATGATATGGTTTGATTTTATAAATATTAGTTATTAATATATACAGACTTATTTTGATAACTTATTTTGAAATTAAAAGTTTATCTAAGACATTATTTTTATTTTTATATTTAGAAATATTTATTAATTATCTGAACTTATACTATGAAGTTTGAATCTGATTTGAAATTGAATTCAATAGTTCAAACTAGAATTACAAATTAATTATTCAAAAATTTACTTTGATTAGACAAAATTAAAATACATATATATAGTTTAGTATATTAAACTTTATATAATTCATATAATACTATGGATATTTTAGTATTTTAATAAAATTTCAAAAATATTTTATATACACTATCTTGGAATTAACGTGAATTCAAACCAGACTTGAACCTGGAATAAAATCTGATTCAAAATTGAACTTATAAAAAAGTATACATGTACTTAATATATACAATACGTGTATATTATAGTGGAATTATAAACAAAATGAGACAAAGAATTATAGCAACACCGAGATGTTTTTGCTTGTGCATATATCATCTTACATAAATCGAGCATTTTTACTTAGAATTAAAAAGGTGCAAAGCATACTAATTATTTTTGCAGTGGCCATGAGAGCAACCTGTCGGTAAACATGGCAAATTTATCACTTTAATGAAAGAAAACAATTTCCTGGATCAAAAAAATATTACATGTACATCGCAATCGATTAATGATTTTATTACAAGTATAGAAAAAAAATCAATACCCGAATGTCATACGTATAGAATGAATGTTACATCATCATGCATACAATCATTCTATCTGTAATTGCTCGGAATTACTGTCCATATATGTTAGATCACATCGAATTGAGTCTAGTTCTTCGAAAAAGTCGTCCTATAAGATAGCAAAATTTATTCCCACACAATAATGGAAGCAACTTGTGGCCGAATATTCTGTTATATAATTCAGAGATCAAACAGCATTTTTTTTTAGAAATATCGATTATATCAATATCGCTAATTCCAAAACGGAATGCAAATACATGTATATACATGTACAGTACATGTATTCATTTCATTATCGATATGACGTCATTGTTAAGGAGATCCTCTATTCAAAGGATATACTGTATACGCCATAACCAGTAAAGGAAAGCAAAAGCAACGATTCCCTATGGTGGTGGTGCCTTTTGGCATACATCATCTTGCATGTAATCCAGAAATAATGCATCCGAATAAATGAAAATGTGGCGAGTAAAATATATAAACGGGAACGGTTGATCATTAAGGATTTTTATACATAACTTTTTCATCCCATTATTCAAATAGCTCATATGAAAAAAACACAAGCACCGAAAACAATAGCAGGTATGAGTTTTAATAAATCCGCACATTTTTAAAAATTTATTAAAATCCCTTCTAATTGATTGGATTTTTAATAGTATTTGGTGGCAGCAATGGAGTCGGCCGCAAATTCGTAAAACAAGCATTGGAACTTGGTCATCAGCTACGAGTACTAATACGACCAGCATCAAAATCAAAAGCACTCGAACATCATCCTAATTTAACAACAATCTATGGCGATGCTCTCGATAGATCCGCCGTATTAACCACAATTCAAAATGCCAGCGTAATATTCTTGTCGATTGGTCCAGGATCTTTTTCTAGTATGGGCAATTATCCAACATCAAAAGCACAGCGTACAATAAATGAAGCGGTTAATGAGCTACCTGAGGGACAAATAAAAAGGATGATTCTGGTCTCGGTAGTTGGGATCGGCTCAAGTTTCGAGGATACACCGGCATGTATTCAGTTTTCCGGGAATTGGATCGTGCCCAAATTATTGGATGATAAACGGGCTGCCGAGGATGCGCTTAAAGAATTTTGTAGTTTTAAAAATATTGAGTGGACGGTATGTCTGAATATTGAAATATCCGGAAGAAATTTTTTTTTCACCTTCTCATTGATATATTCTCTCGCTTTAGGCATTACGACCTGCAATGCTTAACAATTGCAAGTTAACACGAAAATATCATGCCTCAGAAAGCACAAAAATCACAATGTTGAATGCAATGATTGGACGAGCAGACGTAGCATATTTTGCATTAGAAGAAATAATTGAACAAAATTTATGGGCCAATACTCCTGTCACTTTAACTTGTAGCCTATGAATCATAATTATAAATGTGTGTTATTATTTGATACTAATACATGTACATGTTTGTATTTAAAAATAAAGCTTCACTTCATGTATTGTGAATGCCTATTTGGTACATGTAGTCGAACATTTCACAAAATGTATTATCGTTTATTATATGTTGTCCATGTAAACGTTTTTTTTATTTTCCCTTTTTGTAAATGTTACACTCGAATTTTATTATCGTTATTGTTGACTTTTATTTCTTCATGTACACTGTATATCGATATTAAATATCTTGAAAGAATAACAAACAAAACAAATTGAAAAGTTAATACATGTAATTTTGTCACATTTTTCTTGATGACAATAAGCAACTTGCATTAGATTTCCTATCCATTGTAAAATTTAGAAACCTAAAAAAAATGAATAGAACTCAAAATGCAATGACACAGTCAGAATCCAAAGCGCAGTTTGGTAGTTTTCGGCAACAGTTAAGCGCAATATTGAGACAACATTATATTTTACAGGTAACATTGAAATATTTTATTTATATTTATGAGTTGATAATCGATCTGATTCTAATTTTCAAAACACAAAATAGAAAAGATACTATGTTCAAACATTTGTGATAACAGTCATTGCGCCAGTTGTAGTTTTATTGATTATATTAGGATTATGGATGTCGACGAAAGATTTGATAGATTCAAATGAACTCGTTAAGTATCAAGAGTTATTAAATACGTCCAAGCTACCCAATACAAACCTTGTAGTAGAAGATATCAATAAAGAGCTTGCAACTTGGGATTTACCAGGATTATATCAATGCGAGGTATTTCTTTTCTTTAACATAAGATTCTTTGCGAGTATAACATAGTTGTAAAACAAGTTTTTTGATCTTTTAGCCTCCAATTCGTGAAAAAACTAAATGCATTACCTTATTGTATGCGCCTAGTAATCAACAAGCGACCAAGATTATGCAAATTTTCGCAGATAAAAATAAAGAACGCACGGGAAAAGAGTTGGCCATTAATAACGAACCATGGATTGATTTAAGTAAATAAATAAATATTTTCAATCTAATTATAGAATTATTAATTAATCATTAGTAAATTTTTTTATAAAGATCCTCCATCGTATAACCTCGGAATTGTTCCGGTGGATTCGAGTGATTTTATTTATAGCTATTCATTACAGAATCCCAAAGTAGTAGATTTCGCTGTCTCTTTTGAATTCCCAACTGTTGATAGAGTGGAATACACACTTTGGTATAACTTTACAACTGTCCAAAACAACACGATCTATGGCAAAGAATCTCAAGGAAATGCGAATTCAGGATTATTTGACACGATAAAAAATAGCGTGTATTCTAATGGTCAATACCTCGATGCCGGAATTGATGACTTTGGGAATAATCTTCTGTCGGTAAAACGAGGAATCGAAGAAGCAATTTTAGCTTATAGTGGATTTCCAAACGCAAAAATTGATATCAAGATAAAAGAATTCCCAGATATGCAGTTGAAAATTGCACAAGATTCTAACGACAATAGTAATGGTGCCAATACCGAGTTTAACGTGGATGTTTTTCAATCCATTGGAATGTTTTTGGTAGTTCCAATTTTAATGATTTTCGTAGTGTCAGGAGTTATGGATACAGTACGTGAAAAAGAATATGGACAAAGAAATTGGATGGAAATGATGTAAGAAAATGCATTTGTTTTCTTGTAATAATGATGATGATGATGATAATAAAGTTTCTTTAAACAGGGGATTGAGATCGAGTGTATATTGGTTAGCTCACTTTATCAGCGCTGGTTATCTCGTTTTTTTCCAATCCTTGATATTGATCGTTCTTGGTTATGCCATGAATTTTGACTTCTTTCGGAAAACTAGTTTTTCGGCAAGTTAAAATATACATTTTTTAAGAATGAATTTTCAATACCAATCTCTAAACACATAACTTTGATTTTGTAGATTCTATTGTTACTATTTTTACTTTTCGGCTGGTCAATGCTTACTGTAGGATATTTAATTGCGACAATAACTTTTCGTTTTCGAACAGCAGATATCCTTTTCTATCTGCTATTTCCTAATTGACTTTACTGATAAAAAAAAATTATCCTTAATTTTTGAAATTCAATCTTTATTTTTATACTTAGTGTAGCCTTCGTGTTTTCTTTGCTAGCATTCATTTACTTGTCTATTGTCGTCATATTTTGGGATATTTGGTATATTTCTGAGAAAAAAATTGCTGCAGGTGATTTTTCAAAACCACAAGGTACACCCGCCGGATGGATGATTGGACTTTTCTTGCCATTTTTCCAATTTGGAGGTAAATATTATTCTTGGTTTATAAAGAATGTCGATATATAAAATTCTGACCATAATACTCTACTAGAACTCTATGCGCAAATTGTCTTGAAATCAACAAAGACTCAATTCTACCCTGATAATCCTGGTTTCAATTGGAATGATCTAACGAATCAAACTTTATATAATAACATAAAAGCCAAGCAATTCCTGCCACAACCATACCGCCCGTTGATAATCATGTCTGCTCAAATTATCATATACACCATGATAGTTTGGATTATTGATCAGGGACCAAAATTTTATGCTAGGAATTTCGGCAGAAAACATCAAGAAACGTTAAATGATGCACAATCGGTGAATATTATTTTTATTCTTCTTTTTGAAGAATCTTTATGGTTAATTTCGAGTGCATTTTTATTCTTCTAGTTTCAGCATTCAACAAACTCGAAAGATTTGGATGAAGATTTGGCAAACGAAAGATCTCGTGCACTTGATCTCGAGCAACCATGTATGTGATCTTACGAAATTTATGAAATTTAGTTTCGAGAATGAGACTTGCAGTTAACAGTATCTATCATTCCAGTTGCACTTCGAATTGTTAGGCTTGTCAAGGAATACAGAGGAAAATTATTCTCAAAATCCAGAGAAAAGAAACTTGCAGTTGATGGTTTATATCTGACAGTTGAAGAAGGACAATTGTAAGTTTTTTATTTATATTTGATATTCGATGTTTGATAATACATTAACCTTACGTAAAATATACTACAGATTTGCTTTATTGGGTCATAATGGAGCTGGTAAAACTACGACAATCTCGATTATAGCTGGTCGTCTACAACCAACATCAGGTTATGCCACGATCTATGACAAGGATATCATCACACACATGAATTTGATTCGAAGTTCAATGGGCATCTGTCCACAGCATGATTTGCTATATGCGGATTTAACCTGTGAAGAACATATAACCCTTTTTGCCGGAATAAAAGGAATCAAAGTGAACGTGGAAGAGTTATTGGCAAAAGTTGGCTTGGAAAAAGCTAGAAATTTCCCCTCGAGTAAATTGAGTGGCGGGATGAAGCGGCGGCTGAGTGTTATTATTGCATCAATTGGAGATCCAAAGAGTAAACTTTGTCTTATTGTTTATATGTATAAATATATTTAAAAGATTACTTACGTAATTGATTTTCCTATAGTATTGATTTTGGATGAACCGACAACAGGCATGGATCCATTGAATAGACGACAAGTGTGGTCGTTTTTATCTGAATACAAAAAGAATCGAATAATGTAAATTTCTTTGTTTCCCATGCTTGAGCAGTTTCTTTTTATTATTTATTAAGATATTATCGTTATTAGTCTTCTCACAACGCATTCGATGGAAGAAGCGGATTTACTTGGCGATCGTATCGGGATTATGGCAAATGGAAAATTACGGTAATATTTGTTAATATAATAATAAATTTCAAACTCTTTTTTCTTATATTCAATTTCATTCTGTGATTAGAGCCATCGGAAGCTCGACGCATCTTAAGAATAAGGTAAACGAAAAAAGTTTGAATCTTATTTCCACAATCGCATATTCTAATTTACGTTCTGCATGGCATAAATCCAGTATGGGATTGGGTATCGCATTCAAATCCAAACCGACTCGGAAAATGTAGAATCCGTTCAACAATGGGTTTCTCAACTTGCGCCTCTAGCTATACTTCAAAATGCCGACGCTGGTGAACTAATCTATCAAATTCCGACAAACGCGACGACCGAGATAGCGAATTTCGTTGATCTGCTCGAAGATAATCCTGAAGGAATGATTAATGGCTGGGGAATAATGAATACCACATTAGAGGATGTGTTTTTAAGAATCTCCAAAGAAAAGGAGATAAAACCTATCGTTACTAATAACACTATGATGACAGCACAAACATGAGTTTTGTTATAGTTCCGCAACTTTTATTCTCATCATTCACTACGTGCTTCAAAATAGACCTAGAAATTATTTAATAAATTTAATAATAATAAATAATAATTAATATAATTAATCAGTTGTTACATGCAATATATCTGGGCTATATCCAAAAGATCACCACGTGTTTTGAAGTCAGTGTTATAACTTTGTAACGAATCATAACGCACGATAAGCCCACAATGATAATATCCATTATTAATAAAAATCCCCGAGTGTGTTACAATTCATTATAATGGAAATGATATAGATGTATGTGTAACAAATAATTTACAGTATTGTACATTGTTTAAAGCATTTATATATAAATACAAAGGAAAACCTGGGAAACTCTAATAATAAAAAAGCCACCTTCTCATAATACGGTAACTCTATACATTACTCTCTCTCTCTTTCTCTCTCTCTCTTTCTCTCTTTCTCTCTTTCTCTCTTTCTCTCTTTCTCTCTCTTAACTAGAACCGAAAAAATGAGAAAAGTGAGTCTCAGATATTCATCAACAACACCGAATATAAAACAAAGAAAACATCATTCACAAATAATATCCAAATATAATCATAATAATGGAATAATAAACACACATCGTCCGTTATCAGCCCCTTCAACTTTTAACCACATTCACAACAAGAATAAAGTAAAAGGTCGGATAAAATTACCTCCGCCATTCCTATTGACCGCTAAATCTGCTTCATTATGTGTAACAACAATAAACACAATCAGTTCTCCAATGCCTTCAGCATTTACAAATACAGAATTTTCAGCATATAGTAAAGGAGGTAGCGGTAGCAGTTGCAATGGTGGTGGGTCTTTAAGGGTAAATTCAATTGGAGCTAGTCCAACACGACAAAAATCCTCGTTTTTTGATAGACGGGAAATAAATTTAGATGGGGATGAAGAGATTGTCGAAGGTTATTTCACTGGATTAGGGAAAAAAGTTAAAAGTTTAGGGAAATCCAGCACAAAAGGATTATCAAGATCCATAAGTTTTGGAAGGAGAAAAAGTTCAAGTAGTAGTGGTAGTAATAGTAGTAATAGTAGTAATAGTAGTAATAGCGATATCAAAGTTAATCGCAGTGCAAGCCTTAAAAGTTATAATAATGCTTGTCGTAAAGAAGCAAGTTTATTTGATCGATTAGAAAAGAAATTATTTCGAAAACAAAGTTAAACGATATTATATACATGTATATATATATATATATATATAGTGATAAAAAACTTAATTTAGAACGTCACGCATTAAATTAAATAAAACACATGATCAGGATAAGCTGAAGATTTTATTATTACTAATTTAATACGCGATTCTTTCACCTTCATTCTCAATAACAATAATTAAATGAAAACGGTGGCGTGTGGCTTTGAATTTATTAGATTGTTTAATGTATTACTTGGCAAAGAATTCCATTCCTCCATTATAAATTATTCCAATTCGTTTAAATTTTGCGGCATTCGTTTTTCTACTTCACGTTTTACACTTGCCATAGGTTTCGAAAGGATTTAGGTCCGGACTCGATGATGACCAATCAAGAACTTCAGCATTTTCCGCAAGAAACTTTACCGCTTGTATGCTTAGAGTTTTTCCCTTCGCACAGAAACCACCCCAGGCAAAATTTTGAACGGTTTTTTTTTGCTATTGGACGTTGGAAATAGTTGGAACGCCGTTTCATCAGAGAATAAGGTTTTTTTCCAGTCATCATTAAGACGTTTGGCCCATTGTATGTATTTCTTTTTGAACTGCTGTTAACATCGGTGTAGCATTTGGCCGATTTTTTATGTCTACCAATTGTACGACATGAAATGTCTTCCTCGGTACTCAGTTTAGTAACAATTTGTTATAGTGACATAGATCTTTAACGAACTCTTGATCAAAAGCACTTTGCAAAGTGTGGTCGATGATACTTTTTCATCCGAAAGAATATGTAGTGCTTGAAATAATAATTTTTGTGCTATTAGATTTTTTTAAATTATATTCGTTATTCTTAAAATAATTTATATGATACTGTTTTTCAAGATTATTATTTGAAAATTTGATAATGATGAATTTTAATAAGCTCTTCTATCAAGTTTTTTTGTTTATTGAACAAATCTCTCCTTTCATTATTTGAAATACTTTCTAGATGTTTAGATATTTTCCATACTCGTTTTGCAAAAATAAGTATTATGATTTCTTTTGTAAGGAATATAATTTTTTTATAAGGATTATGATTTTTTTGTAAAAAATATTTCTTAGCGTTAGAAAAACCTTGTCGTTAATAGTCAGTAATACAATATCATTGGGATTGTTTCCTAATGAGAACAGGCTGTGTTTATCGTTATCTGTGTTATGCTAACTTTTATGATCAATGTATACTTAATTTCCGAACTACAGTAGTTCAGGCCAAATTGCTTTTGTTTTCAACTGTATGTTTTTCTTTTGTGTTATGAGTACAAATGTGGGACAAGATTTATTGATAACGATAATGGTTTCGAATAATATATCTCGACAAATTTAGTTTAAATCCTCATGTGACTTTAAGATTCAAGGTTCAGTTGACACCCACAATAAAAAATTCGCGACTTTAAAATCAAATCTATATCTTACGAATGAATGATATGCTGAAATTTCTCGCATTAGGTGCTATAACAGAAATTTCTTTAAAGGATCAATTTTATTAATATCAAGGAAAAAAGGATTTATCTTCCATCATCACACAGACACAATGCATGTATAGTACGGGGCCAGTATAGCTCAACCCCCACAAACCTCCCCAATTTTTAAAAATTGAGAAACTTTATATCTTATCAGCAACTACAATATTTCGTTAAAACAATTTTTAAATTTTATTTGAAACTGGAGGGGGATGTAGAATTATACTGTCCCTTCCCTATGAGTCCAAAAAGAGGATTTTAATTACATATTATAAATCTTGCAGCAATAAAAACAGGACAAAGGCAACGGACGATAAGTGTGTTTGACATTTCCAAATAAAATATAACTTGTGTGAAAATATTCAAAGCACACAATGTAATGCTTTGTTAGGCCGAAACTGTTTGTAGCATACATGAATGCGTCTGTCTATTGTTATTATAAATAACGATAGGCACTGAAGATAAGATATTTTTAAGAAAGCAGTGCAATAGTAAAAATAATAATATTTTTAAGAAAGCAGTGCAATTGTAATAATAATAATAATAATAAAAACAACATTAAACTTTCAAATTCATTTCAAAAAAAGCATTATGTCGATAAAAACATCATCTTCACCATATCGTAGTTCTACGAGCTATATCAAAGATGCGCTAGACTTTACACTTTTCGGCGCAAAATTAGTACCCGGTTTAGAAACTGCAGCAGGGGTTGTCCAATCAATTATTGATCAAGCGGATAAGCTTAAAAGTAATCGGGAAACTTGTGAGGCATTAGTTGAACAAGTACGAATAAGCCAAGCGACTATAGAGAAATATAAACCGTTAGATGACGACTTTCAAGAAGCATACCTGATGTACATTGATATCCTGACAAAAATAGACGAATACATCAAACAATTAAGAAGACCTGGAAATTTTAGTCGACGGTTTATAAATAAAATGTTGAGATTTATGCACGCCAAAGGGGTAGAAATTATTTATTAATCTTTTATTTCCCGTGGTTTAGTTGAATGAATGCTCATAAAATAAAATTTCTTATGTACATGTACATGTAATAGGATGAACAATTGCTTAAACAATTTTCGGATGCATTAGCCCAAGCAATCAGAGCATTTAATTTAGAAGTGAACGTGCAAATCTGTAATGTAATGTCGAAACAATCGAAAGCGATAAAAGAAATCGAATTGACTACGTTAGAAATTAAAAATATCGCTAAAGGGTTTGATGCACGACGATCAGATGTAGAGAAAACAAGAATTGATCCAAATTTGATAACTAATGATCCGTTAGAGAAAGAGGTTGTGAGAGGCAAAAAAAAAGCTTTAGTAAGGAAGATGTATCGCAGTCAATCAGTTGCGGTAAAAAAATTGAGGAATAATTATTCTGAGCTTAACGAAAAAGACAAGACTAGATTAGTAAATGAAGCGGTCATTCGAAAATTGTTATCCGGTTGCGATAATATCGAAAAATTGTAAGTTTTTATAACGTTTATTACTGCTTGATAAAGAAAAACTTTTGACATTAGGTGGTATTAAATAATTCGTAGCCATGGCACCTATGTTGACTCTAATTCTTTATATATTGTCACCGAATGGGCCGAAAATGGTAATCTTTGTGACCGCTTGCAAAAGAAGCCAAACATTCCTTGGAACGACAAATGGAGAATCGCATCGGAAATCGCAAATGCAATCAAGTAAAATATCCTTGTTTTGTTCGTCCGTCTCTTAGTGATGTATTATGTTTAATTCTCTAATTGTAATCTCGAATCAATAGTTTTTGCCACGGTGTAGAAGTACTCCATCACAATATTAGAGCGTAAGAAGTCAGTCAATTGATTCTAACATCATCTTCTCGTCACCAATAATTCTAACAAGATATTTTATATTTTATTTAGTAAAAACGTATTATTGGACAAACACATGACCACAAAACTCTCAAATTTCGTTACCAGTAGACAAGTAGATCAAACTACGACTTCTATTCCTGGAATAAGAGATGGTCTTGAGTAAGTGTAGTGTTAGATTTTGTTGTCATCATATGCTTTGATTTATCTACACACGTCTCAGTAAGAATTACACGAATTAAGGTGGAGAGCTCCAGAGAAAATTCGGTCAGAGGTTGAAAAAAGAAAATTGGATTTGCAACCTTGTGAAGATGCAAGAGTGAGAAAATCAAATGACATAAAATATGAGACACTTCCATTTAATAAACAAATGGATGTGTACAGGTAATTTTTGACAACATCTACGTATTAGCGTGCACTATATAATTAAATGTCAATTTAATTTGTATAATTTGTATTCGTTCTTCTAGTTTTGGAATGACCCTTTGGGAAATAGCTGCAAATGGTGAAAGTCCATTTTTCCAAATCGAAGATTTTGATCTAGAAAATGAAATAATTGCGGGGGCACGTCCGTTAATTCCCGACGACACACCACCAGAGTTCGCAAAATTCATAAAAAAAGCATGGGAGGATAAGTGGGACAAAAGACCGAAAATCGATGTAATTGCTAACAAACTATTTAAAATTTTTCGACTGCTTGAAGAAGATTCTCATAATAAGGATTGTCTTAATATCCCGCCTTCAGATCCACCTATTCAAAGACCTCTTACACCTGTAGCTTCAAGTGATTTCCCTAAAAGTACAAATCATTTACCATCTAAATCTCTAGAACCGCTAACACTTTCAAGCTTTGAAGAGATAATAAAAATGCATAATGATCATAAATATAAAGAAGCATTACCTTATTTTGAAGCTTATGCCGAAAAAGGAGACCCTCGTGCCGCGTATTTGGCCGGAAAATATTTTTGTGAAATCCCTCAACTTCACGATGAAGAGCGCGGCCTTGCATTAATTCAACAAGCAGCCGAAACAAAACTACAACCAGGAAGAAAGGAAATGAATGAATACATACCAAAAGCACAGTGCTATTATGCAAAAATCTTGCTCCAACCACGAACGTATCAGCCGAAAAAAGCGATTTACTATCTTAAACTGGCAAGCAATAATCGACGATACGAAGCAGATTGTAAATTGGCTGAAATCTATATGGAAGGTGATCATAATCAAGAAATTGATTTAAAACGAAGTGAAAATTATTTGAATAAGATTTTTGCTTCAAAAAACTTGCAGAAAGAAAATCCTATATATAAGCAAGCGGAGAAACTTCTTGAACAATTAAACGAATATAAAAATGAAGCTGAGATTAACAACGATGAGAAAGATTCAATAGTTTGCTAACTTCCCTGATCTTGAATTAATTACTATTTCGGAGTGAAAAAAGAACATTATGCGTAAAAAAAATGTATCATACTTACCGTATAGCACTGCTTACAATACCCCGGGTCTTAATCAAGAATGTCTTTCTTTAAAATTGAATAGTACCCCGGGTACTCTATGCGGAACCGGGTACTTTATTCGGATAGTATTATATTATAGATATTGTATAATAGAGGGGTACTAATCAATAATTGGAAAAAATTAAACCTGAATAGTACCCGGGTCTTAATAATGGAGGGTACTATATTTTGGGGATACTGTAAGCAGTGCTATATGGTACATGTACAGTACTTGTCAGAAGTGGCCTACACCCCTATAACTTTTCATAGATCATGTGTAATGTACCAAAATTTTTCGAACACAAAAAACTACGCAAACACTGATCATCTACGTCTTTATAGGCTATATCGGGCATGGGATGTTCGTAAAAATATCTACAATGAATCGTCACTTTATGATGCAATATCTTGACATTCAGTGATCTTGATTCAAGCAAATCGAATGGTAGTATATTCGCTCAAATCGGGTCACTGAACGTTGAGATATTCATTTTTGTCGATCATTAGAAATTGATCTCCAAAAAAAGAATCAGTCACTTTAGAACGCAATATCTCGATATCCAGTGATCAGTTCGAACAAAAATATTTAATTAATAATATTATCTTTTCTAATATAAAGAACCTAATTAATAATATACCATTCGATTCGCCTAGTCGAGACAAATCGAATGGTAATATTTTTGTTCGAAACTGATCACTGGATATCGAGAATTGGATTACTGAACATCAAGAGATGTGTCAATTATATTTGAAACGTGAGCATTTTGGTGAGCATCAAATGTCTGATATAGAAGTTTACCAACCTACAAAAACATGGATGATCAGTGTTCTTTGTGTTTGGTAAGTTTCGGTCATTACACATGATCTATGGAAAGTTAGGGGGTAGGCTACTTCTGTAATTATTTTAATAACTTGAATAATACATTATAGTTCCGGCATAGAACTTCCCCTTCCCCCCCCCCTTTTTAAGTCAAATATTTTTAAAGTACAGATAATCTATCCATTACCACCTATCCGGGAAAATTTTAAGACTAGAGCTATTGTATAAAACTACTAAATTTGATTTTAACATTCTGTTTCTCACACACTCACTTTGTCAAATTTGTTTTATCGGGAAATTTACGCATTTTTATTGGTGTAGGGTGGCGACTCCCCCGGTTTAGATGTTCTATGCAGAAAGAAATTAATTTGTTTTCTATTTTTGGTCAAAAAAAGCAGGGATAACCATACATTTCTGCACTAATAAGAAAACCAGCGAGTTATTAACGTTAATTTAGCGTTCTTTTGAATTTATCCAAAAACGTAGTCGTTACTACAAAATCTCCCGGTTTTATAACATAACGATAATCTTCTTTATGAATCTCGACGTAATTACCGTTAAAAATAATGACTGTGAAGTTCATTTATCGTTTTCGTTATGATTGACGCCATCATTTACTTTTATTTATTTCATGCATAAAATATGAAACGAAAGCAAAAGAATCAAACATGCTAGCGTGTGTTACGCATTGATGCATGAAACGATCCAATCATCGGCATAACGGTAATTGAGGGTGGTTGTTTAATTTACATGTCGATGTATATTTTTTTGCGTGAAACGTTATTTTTGAACTTTACTACACGTACATGTATTGCAGTATACAGACAGTAACTTTCTTTGGGGAATTCGTTATTATCGGTTATAGTTTATTAATTTTAATTGCTCTCTTGGACGTGCGCTAACCATTATTATAATCGTCAATTTTTACATGAAAACGAGTTAATCTTTTTTATCATCGAGTAATCAATTGTTCTAATATTATAAAACAATAATAGTAACGATAATAAACTAAAAAATTATAACGGGCAAATATGAAAAATATGGGTTTTAAGAATCATAAGTTTCAAAATAATACAGATTTAACAATAACGATAATCAACTCTACATTTTATTTTTTTTGTATTTCATTGTTGATTTTTTCATCAATATCATCATCATCATCATTAACATTATTTATTGCACAAGCCCAAGCTCAGCCAACATCAGCAATAAGCTCAACTGCATGGTCACCCGTGGGTAGATATGGTCATTGCTCAGTCACTTACAAAAATCAATTTTACGTGTTTGGTGGGTGGGATAACAACACTGATCAGAATGGTGCGAATATTTCCCCGTATTATTTCTTTTCTACTGCTTTGCCAATATCAAGTTCGAATCCAACTTGGACTCTCTTACCAACCGGGAATTCCACGAGTGTAGGTTCAGCAGCATGTGTCGTAACTCCATCCGGATATCTCTTGATTCTCGGCGGGATCATTTCATTGAATTATACCGATGACAAAGTATCAACGCAAGTTTATGATTTAAATAAAAATATTTGGGTGGATTGGAGAAATCTGATGCAAGATAGATATCCAGGATACGGAATTAGTCCAAGAGCTGCTTTGATCACCTCCGATTATATTGCGGTTTATTCGGGAAATACAGGAGTCAATGAAGATGGTCAACGATTGCCTGTTCAATTCATCTATTTTTTAAATATAACTACAACGGGTGCATGGACGTGGTCAGAAGCGAAAAAAAATGTGAGTAAATGCTATCTACATTCTATCTATTTCTTATTATTGACTAACTTATCAACAATGATGTATTAATAGTCATCGATTGACGCACCCATATCTCGAATAATAGCGACGACAAAAGGAGATGTTTTTTTATTCGGCGGCTATTTTCCCTATCAATCCGGCGACAATAGCGGATACTCGAACCGTTTTTACATATCAAATCGAAAAAATCAATGGGTATCACCAGATGCTACTTTTCCATTCGGAGTTCGTGATGGGGCGCTTGGAATCCTCGAAAACATGATGTATCTAGTTGCTTATGTCAATGATACAAATTATCCGGGTGTTAATGTGCTTCCATTGGATTTAACAACCTTAACATTTGGCTCTACTTTGAATTTTCCGGGTATGACAGGAAGAGTTGGTGCATCTTATGCTCAATTTGACGGATCGGACTCAGTCGTGGTGAGCTAGCTATTTTACCTACTACTTCGTTATTCTATGTTTAATTATTGATATTGAATTAATAAATGTAGGCATTCGGTGGATGCACTCTCACACAAGATGGTGTTCAACTATGTAATACACCTTTGAACACCATTCAAGTATTCAACATGACCACAAAAAATTGGACATTTGAACATGCAATAATAACGAACTCAATATCATCAAATAATAATAATTTTACAATACCACTTGTAAATGGAATTAATTTAAATGCAGAAAACGACGATTCAGATAATACAATAAAGAATGAACCACCTAGTCCAGATCCCTCAAATTCGGATTCCAATTCTGGCGCAAATTCAGCAACAAGGAAACCAACCTGGTTAATTGTATTGATTTCTTGTATAGTCACTGCAATATTCTTCTCAATTATATTTGCCGGATTATGGTATCTAAGAAATAAGATGCTTGGCCCGAGAACAAGTTTCGAAATTACACAACCACCAACATCATCACCAACACATAATTCACAGAATACTACAAGTGTTGAAAGATCTTTTCCATCAACGAGAATGAACTCCAGCGTCGCAGCTTATAGCTCAACTGCGACCAGTATACGAAATAATGCTGACGAGTCTTTATACAGAACGTCAGATCCGCCTAAATCTGAGACGGAAATTGTTAGTGTGGCCGGTCCAAATTTATCTGAAAGCCCATTACGTCAATCAGCAACTACATTATCAAAGTCCATTCCAATCCCCCCCACCTATACCTGCTAAGTCTAATAGTCGATTGACAGCACAAAATGAAATAATTAGATTATTTGATTCTTGGGATCAGACTACACAAGATTCTAGGCCAAATGCGAATTCTGGACGATCGGGGAATAATTATACGGAGAATCCTAGGTCTTATACATATGGAGTACCATTCTGAACAATAATAAAAAGGATAGATTGAAAGTTTTAAGCTGGTCTTAAACTTTTTAAAAGTAAATTTTATAATTTATTTATTATAGGTTTTTTTATTACTCATTTATAATAAAATAATATTTAGACCAGATGGAAGTTAACATTGTATGTTAGGCTAAACGAAATTATTGTACTTGTCTTTGTGTATTAAACTGGATTTCATAACAGTATTAAAAAATGAAATATTTTTTTCAAAAATCTTGAATTCAAAAATTTCACCTATCTACATACGTATACATGTATTTATTAACTATTCAATGAAAAATCAGATAACTTGGAAGTTTCGAGAAATTAGATTATAGCATCAATTAATTGAATTAATAAATTAAATATTTAATATTTGTTGATGATTTACCAATTTTCTGTATTATTAATAATGATAAATGAATACATGTACAAGTTTTTGTGATTTATATTATAAAAAACAGGCCACAAAATACAATGAAGGATTAGTATCTCGATAAGTAACAATTATATTATCATATTATATCTAGAGAGAATTTGTTGTATAAAACTATTTGAACACAAAATGATGAGCTTTTTATGATTCTTGGTGATTATATTGTATTATTTTTCAGATCAAAACTAAAATTTTATTTTTTGGCTATTTTGAAAATTTTTTTGATCAATACAGATATTAGCTTACACAAATTTTGTTTATTCAAAGAGCTATCATGACAGTCGATTTAAAAGTTAGTTGGACTAGAGAATTATGGATGAGACAAGGATCGAGAGCTAAACTTGATGACTTAAGAAAGTAGACATCACTAGTCTCCTATACAATAGAGGACAATTTGTTCAAGAAGCAAAATAAATATGAATTAGCAATATTTAATTCAAATTAATAAAGATAATAACTATTTTATTA